AGAGAGTCCCAAAAGAGAAGCAGTCAAATAGTATACACTTACCTGAGCAACTTACTATTCAAAACAAGTCAAGTCTGGTCAAGTTAAACCACATACACAAACACCACTGAAGTTTGACACTGACCTGGTAAGAATTTGGAAGGAGGCAAGACTGAAACTAGTAGGTAAATCAGGCTCTGTACAACTAATGATTTCACTAATTCCACAGCTTATCTCCCTATTACTTGGTTTAATAAAGATTTGGTTATGTATGGTGACCCAAAAATAAAACAGACAACTAGCTGGCTTTATATACACATACATGGCGAATACAGTCCCCACATAGTCAAACAGAAGTTAATACGAACCTACTTATGACCATAGCTGTTATGACAGGCTCCCAGCCTGAGTGGAGAACTGTCCTGGTGGCTGGATGTTTGGAAGCTATTATAATCCAGATAGGAGTTAAAGCCAAGAAAAAGACACCAACCAATGGAGAAATGTAGTAATAGGTCTCTAAAATTAAAAACAAAACAAAAGACAGCATTTCAGTTTCCTCTCCATGAAGCAAATCTAATTATTACAATTAAAAGCGTATCAGAAGATATGATGCTGTTGGACATACGGAGATCGCTTTTCTATCAATTTCAAGCAAAAAAACCCAAACATTAAATGATGTACCTAAAAACTAAAGTGTTAAAAATGATTTGTACAACTTTTCTTTATGAATTCTATGACTATATTTATAATTACATGATGAGTTCTATTGAATTCTATGTGAATTAAATGCCAGTAAAACTTAAAAATAATTAAATGTTGGTGGGGAAAAATGAATACATTATATCCAACAAACCTGTATTGAGATAACCATGTGACCCCCCTGGGAATAAACATAAGAAGAGTTAAGAGTAAAAACTAATATTTATGTGGTTCCTTCTATTCACTGGGCACAGAGCTACTTCTCATTTATTCTCTCATCTAATGGTCCCTATAAGAACAGGTAGATGCTGCCATGACTTCTTTTTTATGAACAAATTGAGGCTCAGAGATTCTAAGACCATGACCAAGAAACAGAAGACCTGGGTTGGGGGGGGTAAAATACATTGATCTAAACCAGGAAGGAGGAGCCTTGTTCCTGCCAAGGGCGATTTGAATACTTATAACATCATTCATGGGCACATTGGTCAAACATTTAATTAACTCAACCCTAATGGGATGGCTAGAACTGATTCTCTCTGGTGAGGCCTGTGAATTTAGCTGCTATTGAAGATAGGCCAATCAGCAAACTTAATTTGTGAATGAGGTGGGGTGAGGTGGGGGTGAAGAATACAAGAATCTCACAGTACAAGCATGCCATAGAATAATAG